TTAATACCCATATTTCTATATTATATGCACCCCCACGTGAACGCTTGCTTATTCAGAAAATAAGAATCAAAACAAAAAGACTAAAAACACAATATAAAATCATTGTTGATTGGGTGTTTTATAAGTGGAGTGGGTACTGGGTACTTGTTCTGCATTTTGTTTGGCTATGGAGAATTTTGGTGTTTACTTCTTCTGCTTCATTCTCTCTCTTTTACTCATCCCAATCCAACTGGTAGTAAACGCAGCAGCTGCATCCGAAGGCCGAAATGGAGTGTACATCGTGTACACCGGACCAGCTGCTTCCTCCTCCTCCTCCTCCTCATCTGCTGGCTTCCACTGCCACCATATCATGAGTTCTTCCTCCATCAAAAGGTTAGTCTTACCAAATTTCAAACTCTTAATCTTCATTTACACTTAATTTTTAGTTCCTCTTGTTTTGTATGCCTTACTTACAAGGGGTCAAACTTTGACTCTCCCACACTTCCTTTTTTATCTTTCTTTTTTTTTGAGAAATTGTTCTTGGATCTCATAAGACTTGCTGTTTCTAAAAGCCCAATTTACTTGTTCAAGTTCAAAAGCCCATAGCTTAAAGTTTCAGATCGCTAGTCAAAGTCTCTACTATTTCTTACCCAATCTGATTTATATTTGGTGGGATCTCTGTTAGTGGTTTCAATTTCCCATCGAATTGTGGGATAATTTTTTCGGTTTCCTCAAAGCCCAAGTCAGTACTCAGTTGTAGACTTCGCGCAAGTTTAAAGCCCACAACTCAAAAAGTCAAGTAATTGTTTGTACGTCAACTTACATTTCATTTTATCACTTAAAAGTGGAAAGCATTTCAAATTAAAAACTAAATGGGAAATAAAAATATTTTTTGATATTGATTTTGAAAAAAAGTACTTTGAACTACATTTTGAAATATCAAGTACAAGTCATCACTAAACAATTAAATACTGTCAATTATAGTCACTGCAAAAAAGAAATTTTTGAAAAACAATCATTCAACAACGGAATCTTGTCAAATTTGTCACTGAACTATTTGTAGTTCTAAAATGGACATTACACTAACAAAAATTGTTTCACGTTGGAATTTAAAATGTAAATCAAAAAGTTGTTTAGATAATGTTTTCTTTTCCATTAGATTTTGTGTTTAAGAAGTAAAATGAGTGAAAATTTAAAATGAGTTGATGTCCAAACAATCAAGGATTGAGGTGGAACGTCAAACTCAAATCGTTGGTCAACACAACGACGTCAGTGGTCAACGATTTATTTTTAATTGTTTGAAGGGAAAAAGTCAAAATCCTACTATATTAGAAACAAAAACCTCCCTTTCAAACACCTCATATGATTGCCACGTGGCATGTAGAAAATACTAAATTGCCCTTTTGTCTAAGCCATAACTAAATTACTAAATCTCCCTTTGCACTTTACCTGACACGTTTTTTTTTTTAATTTTTTCTTTATGTTTCATTCAACTAGAGTGGTTTTTTAAATTGAATTGATCAATTAGGTTTTTTGTTACAAAGTGTCAATTTTGTTTTAAGCGTATACCCTTCGGATGAACCTTATTACAAAGCTATTAAAAATCTCCAAAACTAAGTATTGATTTGGCACAACCAATGGAGAACATCAATAAATCATCTTACTAATATTTAAATTTATTAGGATGCTTTTATATTTTATCTAACATTTACTTCAACACATATATTCGATTAAGCTATTTATATTTAATAAGTAACACTTATAAAACATTTCTAAAACATACATGGCGAAATACAATTTTTTTTTTTTTGCGAAATACAAATATTTCTATGATCACACTTATAAAACATTTCTAAATCCTTCAAAAATTTCTAAAATATATCGCTCCAAACACAAAATTTTATTTTTTTCAAATATAAACATTTCTAAGATCTACAGATAGACTGGGCCAGTGCGCGACCAGACATCACTAGTAATAATATAGAACAACATCGAAGCTGGAAAGAAGCAAAAAAATAAGGGCAAAGGAGACGAAAATTGCAGCCTGGACGAGGATGGCTCTGTTCTTTCTCGTGTATAAGTTTAAGTGTACTTATTCGTTGGTTAGTCTTGCGAAATCGATCTCTGCTGTCTTTGACAAGGTAAAGTTCTTTATATATGCTACTTTGTTGTTTTAATTTCGTTGTTAGGGCCCTGCCATACCAGGCGAGAAAATTCGCCCTAAAACTTTCTTTTTTGATTGGTTCCGAAGTTATTTTTTTTTTGCTTAGTTCTGAGTACATCAGCTTCGACGCATTTTGGGACTCAATTTTGTAATTTGTTAACTTTTTGGTGGTGTTTTAGTCAGCAGATTTGAGTTGATTTTGATATTAGAGAAACTTAGCCCGTTAGCATAAACGAATAACTCGAAAAGTGTTCATTTTTTGTTTTTGATTAACAGTTAGTATGATGAGGCTGTTTTCCAAACAAAGTAAGTAGTTATGATGATAGTCTGTTTAAGCCAAGATAGAAGAAATTCACACTAGTAAATATGCCTGCACCGTAGAGACTAGTAATGTGGAATGAGGTAATGAATTGATGTGCTTCATATACACGGACACAATTATATCTCTTATTATTGTTGTACATTGAGATTTGAGACTATGATCTAGTGATTATATATAAAAATTTTAAACTCTGAATTTACTTCTTCAATCGTTTCCCAGTTTGAAAGGTAGAGTTATACACGAGTACAAAAATGGATTTTCGGGATTTGCAGCACATTTGTCAAAAGACGAGGCTGAATCCATTGCTCGAAGACCTGAGGTTGTATCAGTTTTCCCTGAACCAGTCTACCAGCTCCACACAACTCGTTCATGGGATTTTTTGAAGGAACAAAGTAACATCAATTTCAAACCTGGCCGTCTGACTTCAAAATCAAAGTCCTCTGCCTCTGGTGGAGATACCATAATTGGCATACTCGATACAGGTTCGTTTATTTAAGTTGCTTTTGATTCATGAATGGTTTAAGAAGCAGTTTTACTCTATATGTGCTAACAAAATGGGACTTCTTATAGGGATTTGGCCGGAAGCAAAAAGTTTCAATGACAATGGCGTTGGTCCTATCCCAAAGCGATGGAAAGGAAAATGCATAGATGGATCTGATTTTAACTCCTCTAATTGCAACAGGTATGAATCAATAACTTCAGTATCAATGTGTGCTTGTGTTTATGTATTTATTATAAATAAATGTTCTCAATTTCATTTTGCACTTATTAGGAAATTGATTGGAGCAAAGAGTTATGTTACTTACGGTGACTACACACCGAGGGATCTTAGTGGTCATGGCACACATGTCGCTGCTATTGCAGCCGGAAGACCTATCTCCGGAGCATCTTATCATGGCCTGGCTCGTGGCATGGCCAGGGGTGGATCTCCGGGGTCAAGAATCGCCGTGTACCAAGTTTGTGCAGAATTTGGATGCGACGGTTCTGCAGTTTTAAAAGCATTTGATGATGCAATAGCAGATGGGGTTGATGTTATCAATTTATCCTTTGGCGCTTATGTTCCTGATTTTACAAAAGATCCAGTGGCCATTGGAGCATTTCATGCAGTTGAGAATGGAATTGTTGTAGTGAGTTCAGCTGGAAATGGTGGCGGAGGCACTGAAACCAGATCAGTTGAGAACGTCGCTCCTTGGATTTTAACAGTTGGTGCTACCAATATCGACAGGTTTTTTGAGTCTGATATTGTCTTGGGAAACAATAAAGTAATCAAGGTAACAAATCTACTCCATTTGTTCATCAATTGTTCACCAAATAAAATAAAATAAAATAAAAAAGAAGAAGAAGTAAACTAATTCTTTGATGAATATCAGGGTGGTGGTGTCCATTTTGCCAATTTCAGAAAGAAACCAGACTATCCCTTGACTGATGGTCTTTCAGCTAAGAACTCAAATGCTACTGATGGTAGCGCAAGGTATGCGCACACACGCATGCAGCATATATAGTAGTTATGTTGATGAGGACTCTGTTATTGAAAGTCTTCCTACTTCTCTTCTACTCTTTATTAAATACGTATCACAAACATACTGAGGAAACTATAGTACCATAGTTCTGCACACGAGCTAGGTTCATTGCATTGGAATATATGACTGATTTTTGCATTTGTTGCAGTGATTGTCTCCCAGGTTCACTAGATAGGGAAAAAGTGGAGGGGAAGATTGTTGTTTGTGAAACAAACATTGTTGGTGAAGCTTATTCAATCCGATCGAGGCATGAAACAGTAACAAGCCTAGGAGGAATCGGTGCGATCTATGTAGATCACTACTCACAACTAACAGGGGCTATCTATGGTGCTTCTCCTATGGTGGCTGTTGATTGGCAAGATGCACCTCAAATTTTTGCCTATATGAACACAACAAGGTGATCTGTTAGTCACTTTGTGCCTAATACTACTCTTCAGACATGGTGTTAACTTTCTATGTTCTTTGTTGGAAATTTTGCAGGAATCCTAAGGCAACTATTTTACCAACAGTAGTTGTATCAAAATACAAGCCAGCTCCAGTGGTGGCATACTTCTCAGGGATAGGTCCAATCCGCAACAATTTTTACTTAATCAAGGTAGAGTAGTTTCTCATTTCTTAATCAAGATAACAGCAATGCCTGTACGAGACCTTTACAATAATTCCAATGTTGTTGTGTTTGCATATGCAGCCTGATGTTGTGGCACCAGGTGTTGACATTATCTCAGCCTGGCCTTCAAACATCACAGACAAAGCCTTCAATATTCTCTCTGGTACTTCAATGGCATCCCCCCATGTTACTGGAATTGCAGCTTTAATCAAATCCCAATATCCTTCATGGAGTCCCTCTGCAATCAAATCAGCTATTATGACCACTGGTTAGTCATGATGTAGTATCTTATACTGCTGATGTTTCAAATAAATAGCACCATGTCATCTATCCGCAACTAACTCTTTTTTTTTTTTTTTCTTCTTCTTCTTCTTCCTTTTTTTTTTTTTTCAAAATCACGATTTGCAGCAAGTCAGACGAACAATTTAAAGAAACCTATAACAATAAATGTCGGGAATCCTGCTGACCCCTTCAACATGGGTGCTGGAGAAGTGACGACTTCTGGCCCTATACAACCAGGCTTAGTTTATGAAACAGGAATAGCCGATTATTTACTATTTCTCTGCAACCATGGCTATAATGTATCCACGATCAAGCTCATCTCATCAAGCGTTCCTGCTGAATTTGCTTGCCCAAGTAACTCTAGAGAAGAATTGATCTCCAACATGAACTATCCATCAATAAGTGTTGGTCCTTTGGACAAGTCCAAAAGCAAGAAAGTGAAAAGGACCGTGACAAATGTTGAAGAATCGGAAGAATCCGTTTATACAGTAAGCATAGAATCAACTCAGGACTTGATTGTGGCAGTGAATCCTGCAACATTGCATTTTACCAAGGAGAAGAAGAAGCTAAGTTATGAAGCGACTTTCAGACACAGTAATATGACAGGGTTGTTCGGATATGGACATGGTTCGATCACATGGAGTAACAATAAGTATAGGGTAAGGATCCCATTTACTGTAATTACTTAGAAATGAATGTTAACAACCAAAGAAGGCACTGAATTACATTAAGATCTTAACTCTACAAGTTGTTTTGATTTAATAACTCGACTCCAGTGTGATTTCTGACAGCAATGTAGTGAAATAACAATGGTGGATCAGTTATCCCTAAACAGTAATTTGCAGAAAGAGTACAGAATCAAAGTGGAAAGAATGCATCAACATTAAAAGCCACTCCCATTAAATATATTGCACTAATGAATTATCATCGATATCTAAAGAAAGAGATCACATAAAATCCAACACGAATTAAAGTGACCAACTTGAACGCAACATGATGCCTGGAATATGGGAATTTCCATCTGCCAAGTATACAACAGTTGGTTGAACTCTAAATCGCTCACTTAAACTAAAATTTACGAATGCTTCTGCCTGAAAATGATCCCAACTCCTTGGACCTTGTAACAGACCCCTCAAGTTTATGCCCCAGCCAATATCATCTTCAGGAATGTCAGACATGGTAACAGCCCACTGTAAATGTCTGTTATTTGCACGCTTAATCTCAATCCAACCACCGATTCTCGTAGTCTCATCAAGCTCAGATTCGATCATCAGCGCCAGAGATCCATCCAACAGATCTTCCTTCTTAGATGTTCCAACCTCTAGATCATAGTCCAACTCAACAGCTCTCTCAGAATTACTTGGCCTTAAACTGCCCACAGGAAGGGTCATTGCTCCAAGATTCAATCTTTGAGTTGCCAACTTAGGCATTTTGTGCAAGCCCAACACAGAGAGTTTGGTACCTTGAGTTAACTGATAGACTACTTGTCCAAAAGTGCTAAAGCAACGCGCAGTTCCAGAAGTTTGTTGCGATCCTAGTTCAGAAACAAATTGACCCAGCGAAGCAACAATGTTTGATTTTTTAACCATTACGCCAAGAGCACAACCATTCTTTTGATTCAGGAATGACGGGGCATATGCTGAATACTCTGAAAAACCCTTTTCCTACAGCAAAAACAATGGCAAGATGAAAAGCCTACAAGTTTTGGAGAAGTTAAAAGAAAAATGAAAAGCGCAGGTTCCTTGCGTATATGACAATGTGCGTAGGGTAAAAAAAGATACAAATAAAAGTATATAAAAATAGTGATAGCACAAAAGATATGCATACGAATTAGCAGCAGCATGACTGCCTCAGTATTTATATTTATATATGAACTCTACCTCAATTGAAGAAGTCATAGCAACTCCCAGGTCCTTGCATCGAGCACCCAACGGGATGGCAACAGCAGAAAACCAATCACTGACATTTGCAGCATAGAGAACCCTCGATAAGGAGAGTGGCCTTTCTACAATGCTGTTTTGGAATTTCCCATCAGCTAAACATTCTGCAACTAGCATATCTTTCTGGCGTATTGTAGTTTCAAACACCAGCCTTAAATCAAGACCAGTCTGAATACCTGATGTTTCAATCATTTTGACTCGCTGATCATCAGTACTGTCCATCAAAAACATCGCCCCAACCATATCCATACTGCCTCTAACTTGAGTGGAGGCACCCTGGAAGAGATTTCCTTTTGAAGAGTTATAAAATGACAGCATTCGCTCCACCTTATCTTGTCTATCTCTCAGCTTCATAATGTCCGAGAATGCTTCTCTCTGCAACCGCTTCAAGATTTCAATCTGAAAATCATATCATTGCAAGAGGGGTAAAGCGCCATCATCACACAGCTCGACAGATCTACCTAGGGAAGCAAAAGGCAAGTCAAGTCTAATGTAGGCCAGGAAAGAATGTCTAACAGGGAAAACATCTCGCATTAAAGATTTCCCCAACAGTAAACGAGGGGGGTAATAAATTATTCAAATTTGTCGCAAAATTCGTTTACAACCCTTCCAAGTTCCATTTCCAACCACATGGCAGACTATAAGAAAATTCAAAACCCACAATCAAAATTCCAATTTATTTAAGGATTCTAAAGCTTTTGAGTTCGCTCAAATACAGAATGCCTTCTAAGACTTCAGCTTTCAAGTGCATGATTAATAGTAAGACGCCCAGATAAAACGGCATACAGCTTTCAACCATAAAGATGCCAGATACAATCTAAGGGAAAAGGAAAACCTATCTGTTGCTGCTAAACACAATTCTAATAGCATAATCTGGAGGAATAACAGATTACAGTACCATACTACAAATCATCTTGCTAGTAATATTATAAAAATCAAAGGGACAGAAGAATGCCCAAAACAATTAGAATTACCGGTTTCCGGCGGTTGAAGTTTTGCTGCCATCGAAATATGCCATCAACGACGTCCTGGGTGAAATTACCGAATTCTTTGAATTTAACCGCAACTAATGCAAATGGGTCCATCTCAAGTTCCCCAGAACTTCTTCTCACTGGTCAGAGAATTTGATTTTGAATCAATCCTCCCTCTTCTATGGGGGTTGGGATGGCACTCTGGCGGGCAGAGACGCTGAGTCGTCGAAGATGATGGGGGGAAATTAATTTGGGCCTTAGCCTCTGTTTAAAAGTAGTATTCTGTTGGGTCATTTTGGGATGAATAATGGGCTATAAGGCCTAATCACCCAAGATAAGAAGCCCAAATGAGCCAAACTCTAAAAACCTTTCCAAAATTCAACCACCATTTCTGAACTTTGATTCCGACGAATTCATGGCCGAGGCGCCTCTGTTGTTGAGGCCTCTAATGCAATGGCAGAGGCTCCGCCACCTCTGCTTCTCCGGCGAAACACTCTACCACCACCTCTCCTTCACCTCTTTCCAGTCGCCGTTCGGATACTCCTCAAATACCACCGGCCTAGTTCACCGGAAAATCTTACTCGCCAATTCAGCTTCCCCCAACTATTATCAGCAATACCGCGGACTCCATCTTCGAACACGCGCTCTTAAATTGCGAGATGTGCCGCTTCGGTCCAATTCCAGTTCGAGCGACAGCGATAGCGATGGCGATGATGCTTCTTCCTCCGATGGTGCCGTTAGAAAGAGCCGCAACGAGAAGAAGCGCGACGCTAAGCGCGCCGTTCGATGGGGCATGGAACTTGCTAACTTAACCCCTTCCCAAATTAAGCTTATTCTCAGGTCCATTTTCCTTTTTTTTTCCCTTTCTTTTTTCTTTTTCTTTAAGTTTTACTTAATTGTCATATGTATTGAATACTCCGTACATTATGGGTGCAGGGTGACCTCCCTCAAGCCCGAGGTTTATGAGGCTTTAATGTTGGTTAAGGTATCTGTTTTTTTTCTTTTTTTTGTGAAACATATTTTCATGTTCTGGTTCTTATCATGGTTATAATTATACTCGCTCTGTTCCACTGTACCCGGAAATTTTCATTTTACCTAATGTATGTGGTATATACTGCAGAGATTAAGTCGTGATGTTAGAGAAGGAAGACGTAGACAGTTCAATTACATAGGTATGCCATTTACTCGGCTAACCAAATTATTGTTCTAAGTGCATATCTGAAGGCTTGTGCTTTAAACTAATAATGCTAGGGTGCAATTGGACTTAGCAGTAAAAAAAAAAAGAAAAAGAAAGGGAATCATTTTAGATACTGTTAATGTTTGAATTTGACTCCAGGTATTAAAGACTTTGTTGAGACAACAAGATGATTATTTGTTTTGTTGGTTTGGGAAAACACATTGTATATGTAAGAGTGGAAATGATATGGTGAACTAAAACAAACGGGGGGATGAATGCGAGATTACTTAACGGAAAACTTTGGTGAAAGGGAATGTTTGCTCCTTTTTATTAGCAAAGCATAATGGTATTCAAGCACAAAGTAGATTTTTTTGTAGATGGTGTGTGCAAGAGACTATGAAGTAACATGAGACGGTTATTCTAATCAAGTACTCCCTTTGTGCCTCAAAAAGTAGTCAACTTTGTTGAACTAAAACAGTATAACAAAGTGGACTATTTTTTTTTTTTTTTGAGATGGAGGGAGTACTGAAAAGTAACTATCCAAATATTGACCGGGAATGTGAGAGAAACAAAAATAAAAAGGTATTTCGAGAATTTTGGATTTGGTTTCAATTATGAATCTAAAACTCAGGTCTTTTTGTGGAGCATGTAGTTTTATTCATTATATACCCAATAGCTCAGCTGTAAGGGATTGGGTTGGGTCAGGTAATGCATTGGAGTTTCTTTGGGAATCTCCTGGTTTTGGACCTCCTAGGACTTGCATTTCAGATGGTCAATCTGTTTGATGGATGTAATGGCTTTTAACTGTTAGGAAAACTCCTGCGAGAAGTAAACCCTGAGTTAATGGATGACTTAATTCAGGCAACCAAAGTTGGAGACACTGAAAAGTTGAGGAATTTGTGTGGTTCGCAGACCCAGGCAGTTGAAAGTGACGGCGGAACATTAGAAGAAACTGAAGATGAATATGAGGAAGAGGTATGGCTGAGCAATGTTTTGAACAATTCAAAGTTTCTTTAGCGACAATTGTCCTTCCCCTTCACCTCCATTTCCTTTTCCAAATTAACTTGGAAATAAAGATCTGAAATAGAGGACGATTAATTTTATTGCAGCAAAACTGATCTAGCCAAAGTACTCAGATGTTAACGGTTTCTACTAATATCGGTTACTGGAAAGTCATCTCGTGCCTAGCATTCACGTAGCTGGATGCTTCACCTGAATTCGAATATTCTCTTTCTGGCTTGACTTTATGATTTGAAGGAGCAAGAGTACCTATATTGACCTTTTAGCTTAGAGATACTAGTGTATCATCAAAAGAACTTCCATTTTAAAGTCTGCTGGTGCTTATTTCCATTGGCTTTTTATTTACAGGAATCAGAGACTTGCATTTCTGTTGCTTCTAGATGGCTTGACGGGTTGATCAGTAAGGATATTGAAGTTACGAATGAAATTTATTCACTTAATCATGTTGATTTTGACCGCCAGGTTGGTTCTCTCGACTCAACTCAATCTTTGATCTTTACATGTTGAGTTGCCATAAATCTGAAGTGGATTAAAAAAAATCAGATCTTCTTTGTGTGACAAGTTGACGGGGAATTCCCATAATTTGATTTATGAATCTTCATTGGAATTCAATGATTATTTACAATAGATTGCTGCTTGCTACATCGTGTATTTTTCAGTTCTGATTGGTGCTAACCTTTTAACAACATTGTTATTTCATTTGGTTGTCTATAGCAAGATGAAAATGACACACACACGCGCACACTCATATATGTATGACACCTCAATTATCTGAATCATTCGATTATTTACTCTGATGCTGCCTTTATTCTGAACTCCTATCCTTTGGTGTCTGTTTTTGGCTGACCCTTCTTGAATTCCTTGACAGGAGTTAAGAAGGCTTGTTAGGAAAGTACACATCTTACAAGAGAGGCAGGAAAGTTTGGAATCAGAAGAAAAAGTTCGAGAGGTAAATGCCAATGTTTTTGGTGCCAAAAGGTCCCTTACTCGGTTCCTTCAAAGAGTTGCAAAGCAGATTCCGGCCGAGTAGGTGAGCTAAGCTCTAAATTTTATATGCACTTAAAAGATGTATTTTGAAATGCATTTATACATGAAGAATAATTGCCATTTGGGGTCAATAGTTAGCTTTTACGATCCAATGAGGGAGATTTTGAACCTTGGGTGTAAGTCATTTTAACAGTGCTAGACAGGCCCATTTTAACAGTGCTAGACACAGAGTCTTGAGTATATTACTACTACGCTGTAAACTGGTTCTCTATTGTTATAATTCGATAATCTTTTTTAAGCATTGCCTTGCTTCCCAGATCACAAATTCTATGGCTCAATACAAAATTCTAGCTTGAGGTGTCTAGATATTAGTTGGTTTACACAAAAACAAGATTTCTAATTACTCAAAACTATAACTAAAACGAAAAAAAAAATTGTAAATCAATTAATAGTAAATTAAACTTTAATTAAAGAAGAAGAATATTGTGAACCGCTGTCTAAAGGAATGAACTATATCATGGCAATTATAATAGTGTGATGTGCACCATTGTTTTCAAATTCGAGATTGTAATTAGAAAGGTTTTAGGGTTAGAATCGCGAGTTGTAAAATCGTATCTTAGATTCTAAGAAAAATTTATCAAATTTGTTAGGATAGTAGTTATTATCATAAAGATTATATATATAATTTAAAAATTACTTTCGTTGCCATCTATACCTTTTTATGTACAGTGATTTAAATTTAGTTATTGCGCGCATACACAGTTACAACTTGGTAAATAAATACACAAAATCAAATTTCTCAAATATCAAGTAAAATATACAATCTCAAACTCCAATTGTTTCAAGTACAACATTTACCATCATCTCTTAAAAATCAACCATCAAAACACGTCCTAAAAAAACCAAACTAAAAAATTATATCCAAAATCCACTACAAGGTCAAAACAGGGAAGAAGGAAGATTGAGAGCGGAAAGCTAAATTGGAAAATGAAAAAAAAAAACCCAAATAAAATTCAAAACACCACGACAAATCTTATACTCATATCACTGGCATGGCGCGCCGTTTCAAATTCGAACCAGACGCCTCAAGAAAGCTTCAATCAGAGTAGATTTACTCTAATTTCTTCGATTTAAAAGGTTGATTTTGAGTTTGGTGCTTAGAATTTGCACAGAAGGAAACAGTGTGTGTGTGTGTGTGTGTGTGTTTTCCTTGACGGGGGAGTAAATGAAATTATAAAACTGTGAAAGTGATGAGCTGGCCGATGGATGTGTCATGTATTATAGTTAATTTTTTATTTTATTAGTAATTCGTGGTTTCTAAATGGTGTAAATTAAAAATTTTATCCCAAGATTTCAGCCCAACAAGTTTAATTCGATAAAAAAGACCAAAACATACATATATAGTCAAAATGCTTAGAATCGTATAGAAACATAAATAGTAACATTTTAACGTTTTTAAAAATTCTATCGAGATTATTAAGATTCTAGTACACAGTGAGATTTTAGTAGACTTAGAATCGATACAGTGTATTAAAGTCGTAGAATCGTAGATTTTAAAATTTAAATTCGAGTTTAAAAACCTTGATGTGCACGCGCCCAAAATTAGAATTTTTTAAAACTGTCATTTATTATCCCTATTTTTTGGGATTTTTTTTATACTTTCAAATCCCCATAACCGTCCTAATTATCCGCCACTAGAAACCATTCCATCCATTCCATCTGCACCCACAACCTCAAAACTATTTCATTTTGCATCATTTTGGTAGACCAAATTCTCTCGTCACCTGTATCTTTTTGAAGACGGAATCAATTTTGAGCATCCAAAGCTGGGATTTTTATTCCGATAAATTCCACTAAATATGACGATTACGGTAAGAAATAATGTTATTCATCCGTTTTGTGTATTTGTTTCTGAAATCCATTTCTAAAAAACATAAATTCGTCCAGTGAATCTTTGTTTAAAATTCTCAAAATCTCTGTTTGGTAATTTAGAATTGTCAGTTCCAACCCGTTCGGTGAATTGTCAGATATTTATGAATTTAAAGAACAAAATTCAGATTTGGTAAATCACCATAGGTTTATGGATTCAGATCTGTTGTGAGAAAGAAAAAAAATCATATTTACAAATTCCACGACTATTGCCCCCGGTAGTCTACAAATTTAGACAAGATACTTCCGGCGTTAAATCTCAAGTAACAACGATTATTCATCCATCTAATTAAATATAATTTTTGTTTTATGGATATCGCGTACGATATATTGATTCGTTATGCATCATATTAAAAGTGATTATTCACCCTCTGCGAATTTGTTATTTATCATGTAATATATGCATTGTGGATATTTTGATTTGGATTAGGTATATGCAAATCTGATGATTACTTATCATGTTAAGCATGATTATCCATCATCTATGAAGATGTTATTCACTAATTAGTCTATTCATTTTACGCATTTGGTCTGGATTAGATATATGCAAATATGATGGTTGTTCATTATCTAATGTGCCGTTATTCATTTAAAGAGTGATATGATATAATCATGTGAATGTATATCATTCATCATGTGAATTTGAGTGGTTAATCCTTTGAATATGTGTTACTCATACCGTAAATATCATTCATCCTCCAAAGAAATGTCATTCATTTTAATGAATTGTTATTGATCATGTAATATGTGAACGTACACGATTGCAAATACGTGTCATTAATCATGTAAAATTGTGTTATTCATCCTGTCAATATATCTTATTCATCCTTTGAACATGTGTTATTCATTCCATAGGTATATGTATTCATCATGCAAAGATATGTCATTCATCACTAGTGATGTTGTTATTCATTATGTTGTATGTACCCGTACACGACTATTATTAACTGGATTCGATTTATGTAATTTTAATGTTTATTCATCATTTTTAAAATGATTATTCATCTTCAATAGCATTGTTATTGATGATTAGAGGAGTTTTGATTTTGTGTGTAATCCCACTTATTGTAGTGTTCTTTGCGTTTAATCAACGGCAAAGAAATGTTCATCAAGATAAACTCGATCGGTCAGGAATCAAATATTTTCACAGAGTTGCTGAAAGCAAACAATTAACATAAACGTATAGAGCATCGGCGAATCCTTCAAAACCTTATATGTTAAAAACAATGAGTAGTTTTTTTGTTTATTTTTGGTCTAATATAGTACATAATCAGAAGTTGGTTAGCTTAGTTGATGGCATTAACTCATTGTAAAATATACTCTTGTTAGTGTTTTTTTTTTAATTAAAGTTATTCATTCTGTTGCGCATTATTCATCGACTAATGACATTTTATTCATTCATTAAGTTACAATTATTCATCTAACAAAACTATATATATTCTTTATTCTAGTATTGTTATTCATTTAGAATGGGATCATTATTCATTAAGATTTTTTTCGTTATTCATCTTTGTAAATATCGTTATACATTTCAAAATTTAAATTTATTCATTCATAATTTTGTCACTATAAGAACACTATTATTCATCCATAATATTATCATTATTCATCGATAAGTATACCATTATTCATCCAAACAAATATCGTTATCTATTAAAATTTTTCAAATTTGACGATTAATTCTCTGGATTCCATTGTTAATCAGTTGAAATTTTTTGTTCCAATTAATTATCCAGATTCATAAGTTTCGATAATGAACCATATTTAATTTTACCAAAATAAAATCCATCATCAAAAAAAAAAAAAATCCTCATAAAGTAAAATAATATAAAGACTAACAGGATAAGCAAAAAAAAAAGAAAAAGGTTTGAGATAAAACGTGTGCTAAAAAAAGGGATAAGAGTTGGAGGTTTAAATGTGCATGTGATATCATGATTCCTGGATTAAAAACTCCTCTCTCTTTCTCCAATTTCCAATTTTGTAATACACACACCTCTTAAGTACACATTGCAAAGTGTACATAGGTGCTTATTATTATTTCCCTATATCATGGTGCAAAGATAGTTGAACGCTCTCTTCTGAATAAAAGCCTAATTAAGTTCCTATCTCCCATACATAATACATCTTATGAATAAAAGCCTAATTAAGTTCTCACTCCTATACATAATACATAAAGAAGTAAAATGAAGCCTATGGCAAACATGGATATGCACATAGAGAAGGTGAAATGGAAAGGGCCAGCGAAGCACCAAAAGCAAACACGGGTAGGGACCTACACCATCCAAGTTAGGATGTCTAAGTTCAAGCTAAATCTTCCTGGTCTGGATATGGTAGGACACCAAGCAAAACTCTTTTCCCCAACAATACAAATACATTACGGATGGAATGATGCAAGTTTTGCCTTGTTAATCCCCTGAATTTGAAAGCCCATATCAAAAGACGGAAGTTCGATATCTTTGGTTCCAATTGTATGTTGAAGAGACCATTTGTTGCCGTCTTTTGGGAATAGTATAACAGTCAACTAAGACGACTTTATAGTCAGTCAACATTGCAGCTTCCACTAGTGTGATAAAACCAACATTGACTTGGGTGTAAAAGCTGTGTGGAGGAAGGGTGAACCACTCTTTGGTCATGATATTACAAACGAAGTAATCCAAAGAAGGATAAAAAGGCATGTGATGATGACCATTTACCGAAAATTCCATTGACGACTTCTTCCTTTCTACCAAAAGAAACCCTTTGTCTATTGCTCTGATACAGACTCTGGCTCACAATCCTCTGATCACTGAAGTCGGTAAAGCAAATCTCTCAAGTTCTCTCGGGCGTCGCCTGTGGTGCTTTTTAATCAATTGCACTTCTGATAAAAGAAAGAAGATGGGAGAGGCCAACCCTCGAGAACAATACTCTTCATAGAAAGATGGATCGGATAGGAAGGAAAGACACTGTTTGGAGATGCACTTAAATCTCAACACTTCCTTAATGGGAAGTCTGCACAATAGTTCAAACAAAAACCACTCCGGTAGATAACTACTACTGTCTGCTGATAACATTTTCTGTCCTTCGAATGTATAGAACAAAAGCTATGATCTATCTCGTCCGTTTGGATATATAATACTAATTGTAAAATATGTTGGAACTTGTTGAGTTTAGGGTCCTTCAAATGTATGGAACGAAAGCTATGATCTATAGTGTCTGTTTGGATATAGTACTGCTTATAAAATATGTTGGAACTTGTTGAGTTTAGGGTTAGCCCTCAATTGGCCTCAATGAAGTTGAGTGTTTGATTATACTTAACATTCTTATTAATCTCCAGTAAACTTTAGGTCTCTTGATTTTCGGAATTTGGTTCCCCTTAATTTTGATTTTCCGGAATCCCTTTAAACTTTATTTCTTTATTATTTTTTAAATTTTTGTTGCAATTGAAAAGTTGATTTTCCGAATTTAGTTGACTGGTTCCACCTAATTTTGATTTTCCGGAATTCCATAAAACTTTACTTGGATTAAAAGATTTATTTTCCTCCTTGGATTTTTTTTTTAAATTTTTTTGTAAAAGGAATATGTCTCTCTCTTTGGGGTTTTTTTCCTGTGTAAAAGAAATATACCTCTCTCTTGGATTTTTTATTTTTATTTTTTGGAAAACTACATTTTACCCCTAAGTTTTGGCCAATTCACCATATCCCTCTCGAGTTTTCATAATGCTACCAATACCCTCTTTGACATAGTGAAAAGATAAATCAATGTCGGGCTTATGTTAAATGACAGAAAAACCTGGGCTGCTTCTCCTTCTGTTGCTGCGTTCTCTCCTCTTTTGTATCTACCAACGAAATATTGAACTTATTAGCCTGCTTCTCCTTCTGTTGCTGCGTTTTCTCCTCTTTTGTATCCACCAACGAAATATATGGCAATAGTAGACTGCGGCTCAAGGTTATCTTCTTTCATAAGTCGCCTGCACTTGACGGATAATTCATCCTCCCTGTCCACAAACTTGTGCCCATCCGGAAATAGATGTGCATCTTTGCACATCTGATCAGCTACCCTATTTTCACGATCGTGTCTAAATTGCAAATCGAATTCGAAGCACAACTCTTCTGTCATATCTTCCATCAGCTGGAAGGTTTCAGTGGACAATGGGCCTGTGGTAGACTTTTGTCTCCTTGACACATTTTCTTTGATCAATGATCTTATTGTTCTAAGAGCATCCCCAAACAGCAGAACCTTACCGAATCTAGCACATTCTTCTCGATCAAGCTTTACCAATTCGCCCACCATCGTAATTCCTTGTCGAAAGGCTTTAATCTCCAAGAGGTGGGAATTTTGTGGATTCTTTTTGGTGAGGTAGAATCCTGCTAGAAATGCCCCTTCACTATCACGCACAACTCCACACGATGTCGAGTTGTCACTTTTGGAAGATCCATCAACGTTAAGCTTTACGTGGCCTTCAGGTGGATACCTAGTATTATTCATAAACTTGAACAATTTATAGTGTATATTAAGAAAAAAAAAATAGTATGGATTGTAAAACCATTTCAAATATCCAAGCTCGATATGTAATAAAAATTTGGATTTTGTGTTACAGTAGAGATCAATTCAAATGAATATTAAAAACAATTTGAGAACAATTTATTGGTTGGGTAATAGAATGTTCCATGTTTCCCTCTAGTACTAATGGAAAGATTTACTTGAAATGATCTCTTAAGACATAACTTTACCACTAAAAGGCTTCCCAGCATTAATTAAATTTATTGATCGGAAGATATCTTTCAAGATTTATCAAAAGTTTAAAAACAATGTTTGGAACTTATAGGTATTTCGTCCCATATGTCAGCTTTGTAAGCTTCAGCACGACAACCAATTGTATGGCTTTATTGTGCAACTTGAGTTTTCAATAATGCTTGCATGGATAAAAAATCTTGAACATGCAATTTTGCCTCACGACAAAAGTAGATATGTAATATATATATATATATATATATATATTACAGTAAATAGCAGCCGTTAATGTTTTCCATATAAATATTTTTCCATACCTTTATATCTGTAAAGGGAGAAATAGTCTTTTCTCATTTTCAGGAACTTCAAATATTTTATGTTGATAAACTCTTGTTTATTCTAATATTTATTTGTTAAATAGTGAATCATGTTTCATCGACAATTCCCCCATGTTATAATCAAACTCGTCATGTTTTCAACTTCTTATTGCTTTCTCTCTATTTGTGCTGGTCTTGACAAGGCAAAATTTTGAATTTCTTTATATTGCTATCACACCTTAGCAGTAAGTTATCATACTCAACCAAAATCAGCTGGCACAACTGTTCTTCACTGAGTACTCGAGCTTTTAATATTATTTTAAGTTTAAAAAGTTCAAAACCAAGGCCAATTGTCTCCTTTGGCTTTCTTTGGTAGTTATTTTCTCCATTTTTTCATTATGTGCATTCCCTATTTATTCATTCATTTTGTCTGATGTTTACCCTGTTAAAAGATATTAGAGACTTTTTTTTTCCCTTAAAAGTATTATTCAACTTTTCTCAATGTAATATAATTCAAATAATTTTCAGTGAATATGCATCTTTAACTTAGTAAACGTCTCCCGTCTTAAAAAAAAAGTTTAATTTGAAATATTAAAATCTATAAATTAGATGGGTTTATCTTTTTTCCCTTATGATTTTTAGATGGGTTTATCTTTCAAATTGGAAACTTGATATAAAAATAATTGAAAAACATCAAGCCGTCTAATCAATTTTATAAGAAAAGATGGTATAAATCTCACAAGTCTAATTTTGAAATACTTATTTTTAAAATTAGAGTTCTTTTGGGATATTGCTAATATATATATATATATATATATATATATATTTCTTTATCAGCCTATTCATTTTTTTTATAAACTTTTGTTTTGCATTCTCCATTCAAATCAACCCTTAACAATGAACACTCCATTTTTTTAACATTTAATTGAGTTTTGATTTTTTTATAAAAAAAAATTGAGTTAACTGTCAACCCTTCAAAGTATCTCCATTAATATCAATCAACTATTTTCTATTATCTAGATTTAATCGCTTTTAGGTCATTTTTAATTATCTCGCTTTTAGTTGTTTACCCTTTATTATTCTTTGTTTTTCTCAATTTGTTTAGCATTCGCCATTCAGTCTTTAGTTTTCTTTCAACCCTGCTAAATTGTTGAGATGTTTAATGTAAAAATGTGATTCACAACTTCCTTATAGAAGTTTCATTCTGAATTTACTACCATTTAAAGTAGTTGTTTACCTATTTATTATTTGTTTAGGTTTTCTGGTATTCTCCTGTTATTCATTTTCTCTTGATATTATCGTTTCATAGATCTTTCAGAATTCCATGGTAAGAGTACTTTTTTTTCCCTTAAAACTATCATTCCAATTTTTTTTTCCCTCTATTTGTCTCTCTCTTAATTAAAATCATTTTGAGTCATTCCATTTTTATGAAAACAAAGTCGCAGCCGTGTAGATGGTTATTTTCCTCCTTGTTCATTGCTCTTCGAGGGATTAATCAAATTAGACAACTATACCAAAACCATATTTTATCATATGTATTTAATCTGTAATAAGAACTCAAATGCACTTTATAACATGAATGAACACATGCCCAATCAAGTAAGCATTCTCACAGGTGCATCACAACTTGACCCAAAAATATGTGGTTGATTCTTCACTGGTTTGTTATATATATACTTCCATTGAAAACACGAGGCCTTCGGGATAAGGTACAATTCGAGATAAAGCTAAGTCACAATTGCCACACAACAATTCCCCACTTAAATCTATTCAGACAAATGGGAAAGAATGCACATTTCAGGTGCAATCGAACATTCCAAAGTGACAAGGATTAATAATCACTATATAACAACAATACGGAGATTAATAATTCAAAGAAACTAAAATCTTACATCCCCAACAACATCGATTGAGATCGGAGAAGAAAGGTGTCTTGGGCCCTTGGAACCATATATACCGCCAACAAAAAACCATTTCAAAAAAAAAGAAAAAAAAGTGGCCAAAACTAAATCTTTTTTACCTGTAGAATTTCTTGATACATCATTTGGACACTCGAGCCTAGTATCTTTGTCCCCTGCATAAACTTCACCGATTTGTCTCCATTATTGTACCAGGATAATGATTTATACGTATTCAAGAAATGAAGAGAGATTAAAGATGTCTATCTTTTTACCTTGGCATCAATGAGCGGAGCATAAGTTGGTTTCCAAATGTGGAGTACCATACGTTCACTCTCTAATCGAACTTATCCTGATGGAGGTGATATCTTCTACGAAACCCAATTGATCATGAACTTCTAATAATCGACACCCATTAGGATTGATTTATTTAGACAATAGGTGAAATAAGCAATAATACTTTTGATAGATTGGTGCAGATCAAAGGTGACTCTATTTTTATGCATTCATAGCCCTGGAGCCATCCTGTTACTGAACCATTTTTTTTTCCCTCACAAGCTCCATATTTTATGATAAGATTTTCATATCGTTGCGATCAGAGATACACCGAGTAAATATAATATGTTGTTCAACTAAGATTGCATAGTCTGTTGAGATTTGATATCCAGTATCCATCAGTTTAATGACTCTCAGAGTTCTAATAGAATTAAAATTAGAATCCAAAATCATACCTTTAATAGAATAACCAAGGATTCACTCAATATGAAGATTTTATTTATTTCATTTAAGCTGAAGAAGAATGTAGGGAATTGACACATAGAATTTAATCCTAAGTGGTATGGGGAAATTGATTTAGGCTTTCTCTCTCTGGGTTTAGCCCTAGTATAGTACTAGATGTTAAACCCGCGCGATGCGCGGGGTTTATTTATATACATTATAAAAAAATCAACAAAAAAATATAAAAAGTGTAAAATGTATTTGGAGTCCATATTAAGATACATTACACAGCTAAAATTAAATAAAGACGTAATTGTAAAGATAAAATAATGCATATCATTTGAAATGCAAGTGTTCACTTGATTTTTATTGAAGGAGAAGAACTGGACAATAACACTCATAAGCAGAGTAAAATAAATAAGATTGTATTAATGTTACATATTGAATGAAAAGATAAAATGATTGTACGCGTAAAATACATAATGAAGTAATTATCAATAGTAGATGGTAGCTTATGTGTGACTGAAGTGTGAAGTTTAAATTTTATGGTTATTTTGTTGTAATTAAAGATTCTATGGTACTATTTGGCCCAATACTTAATATTTTAGAGCAACAAACCAACTGTAGAGTTAAAATTTTTGCCCTTTAATCCCTTTTTGCTATGACAATAGAAAATAATAATTAATGAAATAATGAAATTATGGGTAAAAAAAAAACATAAATTTAGTAACGTCTAAAAAAGAACCTTATAACATCATTTTGCAGAAGAATATACGGAAAAAAAAAATCATATATAACCTTAATTAACCATTACCTCCCATGCCACACAATCGACCCACTATTAGTTCATCACTTTCAGAATAACAAACCAACTGTAGGGCTAACGTTTTTGCCCTTTCATCTTTAAATTTCGGGTTGTTTTGGAGAGGGAGAAATTTTTGCAGCACTGGAACATACTCATAGTTTGTGTGGCATGTATAAATAGAGATAAATTGGGATTGATGATAATTGATTATCCAAAATTTTAGTGATAAAGATAAAGTTTATAACAATTTTTGAGATATTATTAAGGAAAGATTATATTTATTTGGGTAGATATGATATTATACAAATAAATGCATTGGTTTGAAATTCAAAAGATAACATTTAATTGTAGTTAAATCCAATCCTTTTAGTAATAATTGAAGGCAAATTTTATACCTTTTTTTTCTTTTTTATTGGCGAAAAATACAGGGTCATGTTTTTTGGAGAAGATTTTAAAGATAACATTAATGTTGAATGATTGGTATTTTTTTTTTTTGAATTGTATTTTATTGATTTACATGATTGGGAGAGAGATTTTTTTTAAAGAGAAATTAATTAAATGACTCCAGTAGTAACTTTGGGGATTCTTTTGGGGAGGGAATAATTCTGGTGCATTAATGTTCATTAATCCCGTCCATTAAATTTAATTATTCTTTTCCTATTTTAAACTATAGTTTTAAATATCATTGATAAAACTTTATTTACATAAAATTTGAAGAATTATTAGTATAATTGTTGTAAATATTTTTTGACTCAACCATTAGAAAAATGGCACATAGGATTTTATCCTATGTGGCACCTTTAGAATTCTTTTTTGTTTTCTCTCTCTGGTTTCTCTCTTAGTATAATACTATAGATAGATATAGATAGATTATATTTCTAATTTGATTTGATTTTTTTTTGCTTTTAGTTTCTAATAAAATTCACTTTATTTTCTTATTATTTTTTCATCACCGCTTTATGATGATAATCGTTATATATATTAAAGGAAAGAAAGATAATTGACACGTGTCGCTCATTAAGACCATCAAATCTCAATTAACACGTGTTATTTGCTAATTGGTTGATCATTAATCAGTTAAAATTTTATATAAACAGTTAATAACTATTATTTACTATATATGTTTTTTACAGATATTGCAAATTACTGATTGAGAGCTTGAAAATAAATATTTGCGAGTTTAAACTTTCAACCTATTGTCATTTTGACCTTAAAGTTCCATTTGTGTGCTACTTAGTTTTCAAGTTTATCGATTTTTCATTTTTAAGAACGATTAATTGTGTCTCATATTTTATGAGAACTACATCTAATCTCTAAAGGCCCCTTGCCTATAATTTATAGGCCATAGACATTTAGACATAATTTATGTAATTTTTAAATATATTTTTTAATCCAAACATAACATTAATTAGTGGTGACAATTTTTATTATACAACTTTTGAAAATCTTTGTTGTAATATTTTTTACCAGATCTTACAAATATACATCTCATAAATAATATCAACACCTCTCATTTTAATCTAAAATTGATTAATCAAAAAAATATTACAGTTTTAAGAAATATTAGTAATTATATTATCTAATTAATTCTTTTGAAAGATAAATTTTTAACATGAACAAACCTGCGCAAATCACGGGACACATACTAGTTAAGAGAATAAGAAATCGCAAAACTGGTTGGACAATTGTGTCGGAATCCAAATAATCGAAAGGGATTTTAATATATATATATATATATATTTCTTCTGTTCTAAAATAATTTTAAAGGTGTAATTTTTATATTTAATACGCCATGTATCAAAAAAAAATTAACATTAAGTTGTGAGATTTGTATTAATTTAAATCTAAATTTGAAAATTTAATGTAAATTATTTTTCGGGGATGAAGAGAGTTCAAATTGTGGCTAGACAATATTTTTGGAAAGGGGTCTTAGTTATGGTTGCTTTTAAGTCAGATTGGTTTATGTATAACTTTAGACAGATGGGAGGTGAATTAAACTTCTTGAAATTAATGGATGATCATGCGAGAGTTTTTTCTTTTCTTAAAAAAAAAACTACTGGGAAATATTTTTTTTGGAAAATTATAGTATTGTTTTTCCATGAATTGTCTTATTATTAGAAATATTACTATTTGTAAGATAGAGGAACAAGGAGTGGTCGTACATAATGAACGTGTTACATGTGTTGAATGTTATTGTTTATGGTAGTATATATTAAGATTTAATATTTCTTTAGTAATGGGTGTAAAGGGGAGAAAGAGAGCATAGAAAATCGAAGCCATCCTGCACTATTAAAGTAATAAGTATTCCAAAACAATCTTAAAGTAATTGTAATTGTTGCTGCATTATTAGAATCATACTAAAAATAACCCGTTTTTTTTCCTTTTTTTTGGGGTGAAATATCAGAATATATTAACAAAAGGGATTAACCCGTCAAGTGACTTGCAGAGCCTCTTTTTCCTTTTCTTGACATGGATTTGCATCCCGAGATATTAATTAAAGTTCATGGCGAGCTGAACTTGGACGTAGATTTTGGCCACATTACTACTGAAACAAGAATCCCAAAAGCCGCGATGTGGTTCAAACTTTGATGTTAAGTTGGGTACAAGTACCTAGTATGCAGAATCAAAATATCTCCATGTATGATTGTACTATGTTGCTATTCTCGATTCTGACAAGAATGAAAATGATGCATGCGTGCGTTTATATCTTAATGCAGCAGCAGCTGCAGCCGCAACTTTGATCTCTCAATTTGTAATACGAGATTCTTTGGTAAAAGGCTGTTCTTGCAGGTGAATTGTCAACATTAACGGCAAGTTGGACTCTCTACGTCCCCAGGCTCCGGGAAGGGAACTTTTCGGGTGCTTAATTTTCTCCAAGAAAGGAGAGAGATTGAAAGAAAAATCATTTTCTGATGGTCAGCTGTTGTTAGTATCCATATCTCCCTAGCTAGTATTATAAATTTATTACTAGATTCTATCTGCAGCCCGAGCCAAACAAGTTCAAAAACAAAAGACTACCTACATTTCTTTCCCTCCTTATACTTATGTTATGAAATTATTGTTTAGTTGGATTTCATTTTTATTTTAGTTTAATTTGTATTACAAATAAAAAATTAAATTAAATAATAATTTCAGGACAAAAAATGTACTAATGTTTTGCTAAGTAACAAATGAAAGGATGAGTCCTTTAATAAAAAAATAAAAAAAAACCTATAGTTACATTATGTCCATACCGATATTAAAACTCCCTACTCGACTAAAGATGGATGAATATAGCGTATCATTTGCCGACACTCCGGGAACATACACTTAGAAGTTTGAACACACTATTGCTTAAAAAGACAATTAAATATATGCTGGAAAGATATTTTCATAATCAATAGAGATTCCGAATTTCAGATATGATATATATCAGAAAGATCGTAATGACCGACGTGACATGTGACAAATACAGAACCTCAGATATTCATTAATGATTGTCAGTGCCGGTGGCTATTAGTATTACAATGATGTTAAATTTACGACGTCCAGTATCATGTACTCATATAGGGCTATGGTTTCCTAAAATATTTAACGAAGTATAACGTTCCTAATTTTTTATTTTTATTTTTTTGCGGAAACTCTAAGAAATAATCAATTTGTTTTAATGTGTATGAAAATAACACATGAAACTCACATATATTTTTTTAAAAAAAAAACTGGCTAATATTCAACGTCCGAAAAGTAACATATACTTCATTTGTGTTTCTTTAATTCAACGTAGTGGACTATCTTATCGTGACATAAATGGAATATCATTTTGGTCATTTTGGAATACCCAACCTAGTGAGTATTGCTATTTTTGCCAGTTTACGATTTATAAATCTTTTTTTTTTTTTTGTTAACAAATATTTTAGAACACTGCAGACGTCCAAAGCCATTAGCAATTTGTGATGGGGGAACTTTTCAGGTGGGGGACAATCTCAGCAAATTAGATAAGAAGATAGTATGCCCACCAAGTCCATCAGACGTCCTGAATGACGTCGAGTTTGTGGAGTATTTACTACAGTGAAATGTCAAATGGACAAATTTTCACCAGGTTTTTTCCTCTTGGTTTTATTTGGTATAAAAAAAATCGGCATAAAACCTCCTAAATCCACATATAAAATAAAAACTCCCCAACTATATCTATATAACTTCTCAATCTACATTTTAAAATTTATTTTAAATATTTTTTTTTTCACATTTTCACCCAATATTACCGGATCGCTTCGTCGAACCATTACACACCACAGCCGCCCTTACGGCCATCGTGGTAATAAAAAATTACAATATTATTTTATTTTAAAAATCAATCATACAATTTTTAATATTCTCACAATTTAAATTATAATAAACCAAATTCAAACCAAAAACAAATTGAAATAACTGGTTGTCCACATTATACGTCATCACCGTGGTATGACCACAGTAGTATGTTCCTGATTCCGACTACCCAATCGTATCACTATGGTGTTATCTACTTCCGATATACTCCCTCCGGTCTTTATTATAAGGCATTTTGATTTCGTCCAAAATTTCACATAAAATGTCTTTTTAATTAAAATAAAAATTTTAAAAATATTTCATAGTAATTAAGAGAATACAACGAATATAAAAATATATTTTTAAAATTTTTTTCCAATTAAAAAACATTTTATGTGAAACTTAAGACGAAATTAAAATGTCTTATAATAAAAACCACAAGGAGTACTAACTTGCATTTCTCTCATTATTCACGGAAACATAATACTAATACAACTCTATAGTTTATCTCCATTGATGGACGTGCATCCCCCTGGTTTTAATTCGAGGCATTTGGAGCACAGTCTCCATCAATTTCTTCCGTTTCCCCAACTCGAGTTCTTTCAGAGCAATTTGGATGCATATTCTTTCGAAGTTCCAAACTGATACAACACTTTAGCTGACATCTAATTTGGAAGCATTTGAAATTCAAAAGTACTCCTTCGTATCTTTAATATAAGGTATTTTAATTTCGTCATGTGTTTCACCTAGTACACTTTTTTTAATTGACGAAAAAACCTTAAAAATATAGTTTCACATTTTTTGTAATTTTCTTGATTGTTATGAAATGTTTTTAAGATTTTTTTTGTCAATTAAAAATACTTACTAGATTAAACATAAAATAAATCAAAATGACTTATATTAAGGACCGGAGGAGTATTATGATAATGGCTTTGGTAACATACAATCATATATATTTTGTCAAATCAGAACGAGTTTTACTAAATTCCATAAATATTGTATAGAGAGAGGAAAAAAGAACATTTGTCTCAACGTTTATATATCAATGATATTAGTCCATTTAGCATAAAACTCACCATTTTTAGAACTATATCATTTCAATAACGAGATATAATTGATACCAGAAAAATGAAATAGATGGTTTCATTTACATTTTTAGAACCTCGACATGTTGCTTGCGATTAATATACACCCAGTTTTCCACCTTCAAAATTGTTTTTTAGCAATTAGGATGTAAGAATAAACCGGATTAAAAAAAAAACAATAAGAATGAATACCTCATACTTCATACAAAGAAATTAAAAAAAGTTGTTTCTTATCCTAATAGAACTCCAATGATGAGATGATGGTGGGTGTTTAATATACGATGAATACCTCATCAACCCACTATAAAGGAACATACGTTTGCGTTTGGGTATCTCCTGATGTGATAATATAAAATTAATCTGATTCCATTTATTATAATGTATAAATTTGAATAATAGGAGTATTTCATACAACTATTTAAAAGCAATATTAATATGCACAATTTTTTTCTTCTAAAAGAAACAACATGGAATCTGAGAAGTAATGGTAGGAGTAACATCAACATCCATGAAACAAAAACAAATTATTAAAATCTAATAATTTAGTATAACCTCGAAATTAATTAAGGGATTTCTTTAATTCTCAATAAACAAATAGGAAGCAACATCATCAATTGGGTCATCAAAGTTTTTAATGGTTAATTTATAGTTACGATTCCAGTCAGTCAATAAGCTCGTGTCCGTTGAACAAATTAACAAAGACTGTAACTAAAAACATTTTACTACGAAACATTCAAACAACTCGCAGATGTTTCGTATCCAGTTATGGTCTTCTTTCTTAGAAACACATATTTTTAAGGACTCCTTCCAGTCAAAATCCAAAGTCTGACTCTGGTTAATGGGTTTTTTTCTCTGTTTGTTTTACTGGGGCTAAATCTATGATTGGATAAATGTATTATTAATAATTGTAATTCTTAACTGCAACTTGAGTACCTACGGTCCTATTAATAAAAACGTGGTTTCTACAAAGGCTAAACTTTGTTGAAATTGTTCCAAATCAGGTCAACTGAAAAAGATCACCAACTACGACTTTTTCTCGATCCTAATAAGTACATGTACTACTACTGTACTAGCCGCCATTTCCTTCCTACTTTGACAACTCCTGTTAGTATAGCAGCCGTTTTTCTTTCACCCGCGATCTCAAATCATCCTCGACGGCTGCAATTTTTTATAATTAAATGTAGATAATATTATTTTCGTGTTAATCACGACATAAAAAAATTCTTAATGTTGTGTATTATGACGCTTTTACCTACAAGTGCAACGATATTTATTTGTAATTGATGCATAATTTTGAATAGAGAAAAACAGAGTGGAAGGGATTCCTGGGTTCGAACCTCACCATGGACATGGAGCAACTTTAAATGTTTTAGCCAGTTGTCCCACTCATCGAGGTGCCTATCATTCAGCGAGGGAGATTAGTCACTGTTACCGACGGTAAACACTATGTAAATATGGAAAAAAATAGAGAAAAACATAAATTAAGATTATTTGTAAAAAAAAAAAAAGAGAGAGAGAGATCGTTAAGATTTCGATATATCTGTGTGTGTATGTATATATGGAGCAAGAGTTGTCTTGTAAGTTTGCATGACATCGAGTAAGAAATAATGATCCTGGTGTGACTAGTGAACAAAATTTTATTTAAAAAAAACATAAAATAATGTGACACAAATAAATAAAAGATATAATGATTCTTGAGGCGGTTGTAATGTCAAACCAAGTTGACGTTCTGAGAGGATGATAGATCATTTGTTAATTCTCACGAAATTGTAACGATTTATATCACTTTATTTTCCATTTAGTGTTAGACTATCTCTTATAATCTGTTAATAAAAGTACTGTACGTTTTTAACTTTTTTCCCTTATAAAATGTGAAACCAAATTGAAATCATCAACTTCATTTCGCATAAATCTCTCCATCTTTACATGGCAGGTTCTTGTGTAAAAATAAATAAATAAATAAATCGGGATCTCATTGTAGTATTATTGTGGTCCTGGTGGAATCTAATCTGAGAAATGAAAATTGCCAAATTTACACACCAAAAAAAAGTTCCAAGACCCATGCGCTAGCTGGCCGGTCTTTCTGAACAAAATCATTGAGTATAGAGAGCATCGAGTATTTGATGCTTGCAAGCTTAATTGTCTCTCAATTGATTCGTATATTCCAAGCAACACAACATTTTATAATCAGATCTTGTTCTTTATCAATCACCCTCTGTCATTAAAATGCCAAAATCATGTGCAGAATTGCAAGATGCATTTTAGGCAAAAATGTGCAGTTCTTTTTCACCCTGATTCGTATGATTGTATGAAATTAAAAATAACCTTATTCCCATCCCAAAGTACTATAGGATCAAATAATTGTAAACCCGTTAAATTATTTGGAGGGCATGTGGCATTCATTACCATATAGTTATGGTATCATGTGCCGCACCAAATTCCCCATCTTGAATCCTACAACACATGATCATGATCAAACACTATATATGATAATATTTCTCTTTCACTTCTATACTTTTTGCACTTTCTAGGGTTTGATTAAAACATTCTGCTTCTTAACACTCACTTACGGGAATTGATTGCAAAAAATACAAGGGATTATGGGAAAAAGTATGTACTTTTGATTCATCATCGTTGGAGCTTTATGCAGTCCTTTACCTTTAAAATATTGCCACTTTTGGTCCAAATAATATAACAACCAAATGGACAAAGTTTTTTTTTTTTTTTTTTTTTTTTTTTTTTTTTTTTTTTTTTTTTTATACGAAGGAAGCATAAAAGCTTAGTTACAAACCATCCCTAAGAAAGGGGGGATGACTGGTTCCTATCTATTGTTAAAAGATCAGCTACATTCGACGGGGGTGATGACAAAATTTGTAATCCCGTCGGACAAGAGAAGCCTAGCTTAGCTAATGAATCTGCCGCCTCATTTGATGTTCTATTAATGAGGCTAAGATTCACTACCCATTGCTTATCAAGTAGGACCGAAATGTGTCTCAAAACATTGCTAGATGGGACCAAATTATCAATGGATCTGAGAGAGTTTAGGGCTTCGGCCGAATCCATCTCCAAAATAATTCTCCTAAAGCCAAGATCCCATGCTATTCGGAGTCCAAAAAGAGCCCCCCAATATTCGGCTTCTAGGGAGTTGCAATTTCCTAAATTAACTGCGTAACCTGTGATCCACAGGCCTTCATGGTTTCTTAGAAGACCCCCAGTAGCTGCTTGTTTGGCAGCAATACTTGCGGCACCATCTGAGTTTATTTTGATCCATTGATATGGCGGTGGTTGCCATGGCGGGGGCAGTTCCAACAGCTTCCCGGCATGTTGTTTTGGGGCAAAAATCATGTTTGATCTGGTTACTTCTCTGATAAGGGAATGCGTGGATCCTTTGAGTTCAGCTAGAGAGGTAGTCAATGATCCAAAAGTCTCCTCATTTCTGGTTTTCCATAGCTTCCATACAGCCACTCCAAACCAGATCTTCCATTCATGTGTGTCCTGCAAAAAGGAGGATTTTAGGTTAGCTAAGATCCAGTCTGGCCAAGAATTGTTATGCCAAAAGTTGCTACCCAAACTGGGGCAGCAACTTTTCCACAATTCTTTAGCCCTGTTACAGTCACGAAATAAGTGATAAAAGGTTTCTAATTCGCCACAATAGAGGCAAATTCGTCGGATATGTGGCGGCGAGTCTTTCCGAGTTTGTCATCAAGGCTTCCCTATAGAGCAGCCACAGGAACGTCCTGATCCTTTCGGGGCCAGGCCATTTCCATATGTGGTTCCAGTGTGGTTGTTCTATGTGGCCTCTAGTTCCTGCAAAAATAGAATGAGAAGAAGAAGTTGAAAATTTTCCGTTTTTTGTCCATTTCCAAGCTGGCTTATCCTTCCCAACTGTAGCAGTTGGAGGGGGGATAGCCTTAATAATTTCTAGGATATCAGGTGGTAGGAACTGTCGGAGTTCACTCCAAGCCCAATTTCCTTGATTATCAATGAAGCTACTGAGTGTTTTGCAGTTATCCTCTGCCGAGAGTGGTATTAGCGTGAAGGAAGACAGGGGGTAACCCAGGTTCAACCAGTTGTCTACCCAGAAGTGGATTGTTTCTCCATCACCAACTGTCCATCTGATTCCATCAAGGATGATCGGCCAAACAGCGGCGATGTGTTTCCACAACAGGGAGCAGTTATTCCTTTTGATACTTTGAGGGATTCTATTTTCGGGGATGGCATATTTGGCTTTTAGTATTTTCTGCCAAAGGCTTCCCTCGTTTGAGAGCAGGTTCCAGGCATGTTTCAGGAAGAAACTAACATTCACGTCCCTTAGTTTGCGCAACCCTAAACCACCGCAAGACTTGGGCTGGCAAACCGTATCCCAGTTTACCAAGTTTAACTTTCTTTCGGATTGAGAAGCTCCCCACAGAAATTTTCGTCTGAGCTTGTCGATTTGATCGACTGTACCTTTTGGGAGCATAGTAGATTGCATAGTATAGGTTGGGACGGTTGCCAAGACTGATTGGCAAAGTGTGAGTCGTCCCGCCATGGAAAATCTGTGGGGATTCCAAGTGTTAATTCTGTTCTGAATTTTCATGAGGACCTTTTTATAGGTGGAATTTGTGACTCTTCCGTGCAGGATTGGGACTCCGAGGTACTTTCCCAGGTTGTTTACAAGAGTGACGCCCATCATCGAACTTAAGGTTGCCGCCAGGGACGTGTCTATGTTGGGAGAGCAATAATGTACCGTCTTCTCGTTGCTAACCACCAAATGGACAAAGTTGAGAAGAAACAAAACTGAAAATACCATCTTTTTTTCCCAAGAATTTTTGTAAGCATTCACTTACACGAGTTACAGAAAGAAGATGGACCTTGGTCAAGTCTCTTCATATTCCTCCTTTCCTTCTCCTTTCCTTCTTTCGTGTTTTTGTTGGTGTCTTTATCTATTTTCTGTCTTAAAATACTACCAATAGACCAATGTGCTTTTAAATTTAGATCAAAACCGTGGCTTATCCGGGTATGTATTTACCCCAGCCCAATATCGACATGGGCCCATCACTTCAAAAAAAAACCCTGTTTTTGATCTTCCTATTGTCTTCCTATATATACCTTTCCCATTTGCCTCCTGGCCGGGAAGAAATCATTAAACCGACTCCCATTTCTTCTTCTTCTTCTCTCTCTTTCTTTCCACCTCCAGTAGCTTCTGTCCACCGCCATTGTTTTTGTATTTGAAGAAGAAGAAGGCTTCTTCCACTACTCTGCCTTCTTCTTCTTCCTCTGTTTCTTCTAATAAAGAATATAGTTCTTTATTAACTAATTAAAACGTGCAAGTTGATTAATTGGATTAAATTGATTCTTTGAAGAGAATAATTTATGGCGCAATTCCATTTAGTATTTGTATTTCTATGTTATGCTGCTGTAGCAGTTCATGGGTCGGCAACATTTACTCTTATAAACAAGTGCCAGAACACAGTATGGCCCGGGATTTTATCCGGTGCCGGAAGTCCTCCACTCTCCACCACGGGTTTTGCCCTTGAAGTCGGCGAGTCAAAGACAATTCAGGCGCCGGCTTCCTGGGGAGGTCGGTTATGGGGTAGGACCCACTGTTCCGAGGATTCCACCGGGAAATTCACATGCCTCACCGGCGATTGTGGGTCCGGGAAGATGGAATGCGTCGGCGGTAATGCGGCTCCTCCGGCCACCCTGGCTGAATTCAAGCTCGACGGCGACGGCGGAATGGATTTCTACGACGTCAGCTTGGTGGACGGGTACAACCTCCCAATGCTCGTGGTCCCACAAGGCGGAACAGGGGACCGGTGTACGTACACCGGGTGCGTTGTGGACCTGAACGGAGCTTGCCCGTCGGAGCTGAGGGTGACAAGCAGCGGCGGCGACGGAGGAGGTAACGTGGCTTGCAAGAGCGCGTGCGAGGCGTTCGGTGATGATAAGTACTGTTGCAGCGGCGCGTACAGTAACCCGGATACTTGCAAGCCGTCGCAATACTCTGAGCTGTTCAAAAACGCTTGCCCACGCGCTTACAGCTACGCTTACGATGATAAGACCAGCACGTTTACATGTGTGGACGCCGACTACATAATCACCTTCTGCCCCTCCCCAAACACCAGGTAAAAAAATATCTCTCAACAGTAAATTTTTCCATTTCTGCATTCTTACTCTGCAGTCTAAACGGTCAATTCTGTCTGAAATGGGTTAATTGAGACGTTGGAATGGAAAGCCTGTCAGTTCAGCCGTTAGACGCGGGTGATTTTTGTCTGCGGGTTAACTGAACGGTAACTAATTGGGGGCCATATTGGTAATTCCGTATGCGCCGTTGAATAATATAATAGCAGAAATATTTATAGCTGGTCCGGGTGGAATATAATTAGAATTTTGACATTTTATTGAATTTTTAATGTTTTAGGGAAATTATTAGATATAAGTGGCTTTAGACTTTTAGTCGTGGTGTATTGGAGGGGTCAAATAACTGGTAGTAATAGTATCCATTTGTTGATTTGTGATATCAGTTGTTTTGTCACATGCCGGAATTTCAATAGTCAGCTTTGAAAAGTGACATCATTCCAGTAAATGGGAATAGATCATTCCGTTATATACAGTGAGTTTGTGTTTCCATTGTGAAAACATAAAAAGAAAAATGGAACTACTATATATATATATGAGAGAGAACAGAGCTGCTGGAATTGAATACTCAAAGCTGTCAGATAAAGGAATGTTAACGTTTCTTTAGGACGTTAATGTTAACAGGCTTTTTTGTCTCATTCTCTAAACGTTTATTTGTCCTGAAACGTTGCACAATTTGCATTCACTGCATTGTTGATGTCAAGCCCACCAAAAAAAAGTGGCCATTTTGTTTTGGCTTTTGGGAAAGGGAAGAAATCTAGTTCCGTTAACAATCTTGTCACTGCCCAGTTCCCGATAACGTTGCCTAGCCGTAAAATATCTGGTGTTGGTTAGCAGAACCCCCATGTTAGGTTCCGGGTGACTTTCACTAACTTCTAAAAATATGAAACAGTGTGGTCCGGTTCCCACAGCCACTATCCACCTTTAATTAACGGGTCTGAAATCATGCTGTCAAATACAAAACACCTCCAAGCCACTGTCCTAACACCACGTATTGTATCATTTTATGTACTACTAGCAACTAGTACTACTGCTCTTTTACTTTTTAATCAGTGATAGAATCTGGTCCATTCCAAACGTCAAATATATAAGATAAGATATGCTTCCTGTTTGATGCTATTCATTCGGCCGACACACATGATTTTTTTGATACTAACTTTGTATCTACTCTAGTCCGTAACAAGACTCAAAGGGCCAACCGGCCTGCCTAAATTGGTATTACTTGCATCATTGTGAAAATTGGCCGAAAAGATTGGTTAAATTTCCATCGCAAGCGTAGGAAAATTGTCATCATTTATGTACGAATTATTAGTTTAGCATTAAATAAGTGGCCTCCTCTGGGTTGACTTTCTAGCTAACTTGTTTGTTGTACTGTAGTACCTTTATTTCCTTTTCCCCTCTTTTTCCATCAAGAACTTGCGAGTTACTACTACCTTTTTCATGTGAGTGTCGAAAACTGATCTGGGTTTTTTGTTTTCCCGTGATATTGCAGCCAGAAATCATCATCCGGCACTCAAAATACTCCGGCGAGCGACAACGACAACAGCTCGGCGGCGCTGATCAACGGCACGATGGTCTACGAGGGAGCAGAACTGGACCAGAGCAGTGCGGCATCAGGCACGTGCCTGCACGTGATGAGAACACAAGGCTTTGCATCTGCCGCAGCCGTCGCCATCGTGGCAGCTATGTGGCTGTTGTGTCAGCATTTCTAACTTCTTCTCCCGCCCACGTCTCTCTGAGCTGGCCCATTATATCCCTCCCACTCAATCCATTTTACCTTTTAGGAAGGCCCATTTGACAATGTCGGGTTTTGGGTGTCGTATCACGTGTGGACCAGCTACTTTCCTTTGAGTTCTTTTACTAAATCTGGGCTCAAAAATGCCATTGGCCTACCTGACTCTGAACCTAGTCAGCATGGGAAGCTAAGACCCTGACCCAATAGTAGTAGTAGTACTAACAATACCAGGAATATATTTTTTATTTTTTTAGATAAGAACTTAGAGTTATTGTTACAGTTTAGCATTAGATGGTATTTCATAGTTATTTATTTGGCTTCATATTTAATTTAGGCAATTTTAAATTGTTTGAGGTACTAGCTAGTGGTAGTTAGTGGGCAGGAAATAGGACATTCGTTTTCTTTTTCTTTATTTAGTTTAGATGGATTTGTCACTATTTTAATGTATGACTCTCTTGATGAAGATGAGAACTTGCAGAAGATTATGAATGAGATAATTTACTATTAATAGATTCCTTTTTGCTTTTTTAATCTTTCGCTGTCGTCGCACTTGGCATGTTTAGTGTTGGATTTAATACGTCTTATTCCATATAAAGCATAGTTTGATTGAGCAATAATTGAACCTTGTTTTTTCTTAATAAAACAAATGTAGGTATGCTTATGAGTTTTGTGATATTGTTAAAAATTGGATCACCGATATGAGCGTGGATGATGATGCTTGCATTTCACCACTAAGCATCCATCATGATTACTTATATGTATACCAGTCCTTCCGAACAGAAGTATGGAACACAGAGCTAACTCCGCATGTATAACATCATTTAATATCAGAAAGATATATTTTTCAGGTAACTCTATGGTTGTTGTTCATTGCGGAAACAAGGGAGTGTACGAGAAATTAAACAGCTATGCCCTATTCTATTCACAGTCATTTTTAATCTTCTCTCCGTGAGCTACGCCTGAAATTACTGCACGTCATTAATTAACTAAATTATTAGTTCTTGGACAGCGGAAGGTAATTTCTTCAAGTAGATGGACATTAGGCCAACTCCCAAATAATATGGTACTATGTATCTTTTTCACTTGTTAACATCTCAATAATGAACCACCAAAGTAGCTCGTTCTATGACTATCAAGTTGAATAGAGAAGAAGATGTGTAGACACGTAGTATAAAAATAAATTAAAATTGCTAACATTTGAAGAAGCCGAAAACGATATTTTACCCTTAAAGATGGAGAAGTTAAGGAGGAAATTATGCATCTCAACTACTCCTAGTTAATTTTCAGGCTTTTTCTTTTACTTAAAAACAACTGCGCTGCATGTCGGAGAAATAATTGCATCTTCTTTTGACCACTTTAATTAAACTTACTTAAGCGACGGAAAATGTAAAGAGTAAATCTAAAGCTTCATTATGGTAGTCAAAAAACCAACTTAATCCCTGTATAATTAAGTCATTTAGTCTGAATGACTATCAAAATGAGACGAAAAGAGTAACAGATAAGCTAGAGTTTGTACTTTCTCATTGGTATATATACCGGTGATAATTACACAAGGAATGAACACAATCTCCTTGTCTTCAGCAAGGCGGTCGGCAGATAAATTAGACTATCGGATTTTCAAAGCCGGCAGTGCCGTCGAAATCAGCGCGACGACTTTCTTTCCATTTGGTGGTCGTTTCCTTTCCACATGGAAGGAGATGATAGGGGTTTGGTTCACGGCGGCCGATTAATCAGAAAGTGTAAAAGCGCCACAGTACGTAGTATATATGTGATAATTGTTTAATTTTTTTGGTTGCGGGTTAATTTAAGCTGTGAGATAATGCTAACTAATTAACGAATAATTGATGGAGCGTGACACTTTTTTAAACACTATTGTAGTTGAAAAGTCAGTTCACTTTTGGTACGAATCCACATTAATATGCTAGCTCATTAGTTTAGAATGGATTTGCGCTTATATTTTTATGGTAATCAAGCATGCGATTAGTGCTATACAAACACACTGGAACAAGTAGATAGCATGCTGTATGCCATAATATTGTTCGTTCGTCAAATATAGCCCCAGTTGGGAGCGCCAGGAATCTTCCTTCGTGTGCAAGCACAACTGTTTAGTTGAAATTTTTATAATTTCTCCGTCTTAAAATTGTATAATAGATATATGATAATTTTTTTAACACATAAATATTAGTATATTAATGTGTCGGTTTACTCGGCTAGTTCTAATCCATGTCTACCATATGTGTTGAAGATTTCAATATGTTCGATTATATAATTACAATAGTGAAACGCCCCATCAATGAACGGTATACTTTAATTTTAAACGAAATTCTATCAAAACCATATATATGATCGATCTCAACACCTCACGTGTGATAAAAACCATTTTCTTCTTCTTTTTAATTCTTGTAAGTTGCCGATCGAATTAATTTCCTCAGGTAATAATGATTGGAAAAGATTTTCTCCAAAGTTTTGTTGAGTACCAAATGTGGGAAATGAGGACGTGGAGATGGATCACTGAGACACACTAGTGGTGGGTGATGTAAGAATTAACAGGTTAATATAGAAGTCTATAGCGTTCCACCTCAAAACCAATTGTTTATGAGATGAGTAGCACATGGAGCTTATATATTGATACTCAGAATCTCTCAATACCGACGTGAGATTGAGACTCTTTAATATTTAACATTATCAATCATGTGAATTTTTGTGTAGAATCGTACGAATGTGAACCGCTTGGCAATAATGTACATTTCTGTTAATTAGAGAAGTCAAAATGTGGTGGGAAATGTCGCAATCATTCACATCGTGTTCTACACTTCTACTTGCGTTTTGGACATTTCAACGTAAAATTTTGCAGTCGAATGTTAAAAAACGGTACAAATAAGGAAAATCAAGACGGCAAACTTAACTAAACTAAGTTTGACAAATGAGCCAACTAATAAGGTTAACTGAAACCCAGTCCAAGATTAGCAGTCCCATAGAAAATGACTTTGGATGGAAGCCCATAGCCATCGCCCAATCGGAGGAGTGTAGAAAGGACTAAAAATCTAGTCACAGCTGATGTTGCACCACGTCACCTGCGACCACCATTAAACCTAAACTTGAAGCTTACCTACCTTTGTTCCCTACATAAACTACGTACGTACTTCACCTCGGCTTTTTTTCATGTGACTTTGCTAAGACAGGTCACATTAGCTTCAAATACAGGGAGATAGATAGATAATTAACAGGCATGGTTCATGCACATGGTCTCATTCCATCATTTTATTGATGTTGATATTACTACCCCTCATGTTACTTTCTTTTGGACCTTCTTGTCAGATTCAACTTATCAATGCACATTATCTATGTCCTAGTTATTTAAACCGAAGATTTTGTGGGTTTATAACAGTTATATTTATCTCTTTTTAATTATCATAATATGGTGTATTTTTTATGAAACTCCTAAGTTGTTATGCAAAGAATAATGTTCCGTTACTAAAATTAGTGATAAGTGCAGAACGACTCACGCGTACATCTTCCCTTTTTTTATGTACAAACTAGTGGCTTATTTTTTTAATATATATATATATATATAATTTTTTGGTTAATTACATCTCAATCTTCTAAATCGTATCAACTCGTTAATGGAGATCGAACTCGTATCACTTGCTCCATACTATGCAAGAGCCTTCTCCCTAACATTCGTTGCCCCCAATTAACCAAAACCTCTATGAATGTGGCTAACAAACACTTTATTGGGCGCTATGGTCTTATGTTATGGTGCAAGTTGTGGGCTGTTTGCACTAGTTTCCCCTGAACTAATTACTAAACCATTAAACCCATATCGCCTGGAAGTTTTGTCCCACTGCTGTATATAGGAAGTATTTGGGCCAATTGTAGTAATGATGAATCCTGATCAAAGTAAGCATCTGATCTAGGCCCCTAATGTTATAAAACATTTCTCCCTGTAGACGTACTATAATTTTTTTATTTTGAATGGAATAACCAATAATGATATTTACTTGCGGAATTAAGGATTGAAGGAAGAAGGGGATCGAGAAATATTATGAGAAGAATTTGGTAACATTCAACTTGCTTCTTTGAAAATTCGTTTCAGATATTCATTTTCTGTTATCTCACAACTTGTGCAAAATCGGAGTTAGCGGCTGCTTTTTAAGGATTTTGTGAGAGCCCCGTCGAAATGATAATAACAAAAATAATTTACCAGAAATAAAAAGAATTAATAATAACACACAAAAAAAAGTTATCCTATTTCTTTATTTCCTCCTCCCCCCTTTTCTTTTATAACCTTCCACTACAAATTTCCCTCCCGCCCAACCCTATCCTTCCTCACCCAATCAATCTTCAAACTTGGGATGCCCTAAATTAAATAATTTGAAGAGGATAAACATAATTACACTTTAAGCTAAGCCCTTTTTTGTTGACTAATCGTATTTTGAAAGGAAAATACGCCGACGTAGTGCCTTCTGATGTGGATTGGATTAATTAACATATTTATGTCATGAGCCGAAACAAAGACCAGTCACCCTTAATTTTAAAATGTTAATCTGCTAACCAACGTGATAATCTAGTTAAATCTACCCACCAGTAGTCAAGAAACCCACAAAAGCATATCCATCCTTAATTAGCTCTCTTAAAAAGTCTTGCCATAGCTGACAAAAGATAAATATTAACTATGTAATCATTGCTTTTTAGCTATATATAGGTTAAAACAAGTTGATGGTTGCCTCTTAATGCATTGTATTCCGATAACAAGATTATCGGGATCTGTCGCAGCTCAGTCTGGACAATGAAAAGAGAGAACATATTGTTGAAATATACATTCATTCATTTTTAGGGTTTATATAGCTGATAAGTAAATGTGTGGGACGATCAGATATTATTAAGTTTTAGGGATACATACCAGGAAATACTTATAAAAGATGATGCGACTGGATCCGAATTATCCACCTAACAATGAAAAAACTTAAGGGTGATGTGTAAATGTTGACATTTCTGAATTCATCCCTATCATTTCCAACATTATCTTTGTAAAACTTTCGTGTATATTTCATTGGACTGTGTATAATTAGTAAAATGACATTGTTCTGTAAATGGAAAATGCATGTACGTAGATCTTATTATACATATTAACGTGACCAAATGATGTTATGTGTACAGTATATCGTAAATCTTATGTCTGATTATATCAACCCCAGTATGATCCCGATCGACCAAGAACATAAAGTGCAACTGTTTTCATATCTATCACGAAGTTGACAGCTTAATCAAGTGGGGAAAATCGCTAGTGATGGTAGCAAGAGGACAAGAAAACTTAGCTAAGAAGGCAGTAAGGCAGTAGAAGTTCCAGTTGGTGGACCTTTTTGTTGGCTTACATATACTTGATTTTCTGGAGTTGTGTCCATGCAAATAGTAAATGATCATTTGGCAGTGCATTCCCATCATCAAAAAGTCTAAAGATTTAAGATGTTTGAAATGAAGTTGAATTTCTTCCGACATTCCACACCATGATGATATCATATCGCGTATCACTTTCAACTATAAACGTATCATCCCTCCAGATGCTCATCAAGGTCTTTTAAAGTTTGTTTTTCCATTCAGAATTCAAAAGAAGTAAAGAGCAAAAACCACCTCCAATTTTTAATTTTATTTTTTATTTTTAAAAGGAAAAGAGAAGAACTTTCTCATACGTTGCTATCTTACGTTGC